AGTGTGTACAGCCCTATTCTTTTTTTATTTTTTTTTTGCTTTTACTTCCCTTGCCTTTGAGGTCAAATTCATAAAATCCTCTCTAAGACCAAGGACCATAAGTTTAGGACCTATGCTTTCTTCTATGTAGTTTATTGTTTCAGGTCTTATATTTAGGTCTTTGATCCATTTTGACTTAGTTTTGGTGTATGAAACAGATAGCAGTCTAGTTTCTTTCTTTTGCATGAGGCTTTCCAATTTTCCCAGCACCATTTATTAAAGAGGCTTTCTTTTCTCCATTGTATGCTTTGGCATCAGGGAAATATTTGTCAAAAATTATATATATATATATATATATATGGGTTTATTTCTTGGTTCTCAATTCTATTCCATTGGTCTTTGTGCCTGTTTTTCTGCCAATGCCATGCTGTTTTGCATATTAGCGCTCTGTAGTCCAAGTCCAGGAATGTGGTACCTCCAGTCTGTTCTTTTTTCTCAAGATTGTTTGGAGATTTGGGGTCTTTTGTTATTCTGTACAAATCTGATGATTGTTTTGTTCTATTTCTTTTTAAAATGCCACTGGAATTTTGATGGGGATTGCGTTAAATCTGTATGTTGCTTGGGGTAATATGGCCATTTTAACTATGTCGATCCTTCCAACCCATGAATACGGAATATCTTTCCATTTCTTTGTATCTTCTTCAATTTCATAGTTTTCAGTGTATAGGCCCTTCACATCCTTTAAGTTTATTCCTAGGTATTTTTTTTTGTTGTTGCAAGTGCAAAAGGAGTTGTTTTTTTCATTTCTTTTTCTGAAATTTTATTGTTAGTATAAAGGAATGCAATGAATTTTTGTACATTGAATTTGTATGTATTTGTTTATTGTTTCTAATTGTTTTTTGGTGGAGTCTTTACGTTTTCTATATAATCATGTCATCTGCAAAAAGTGACAATTTGACTTCTTCATTCCCAATTTGGATGCCTTTTATTTCTTTCTCTTGCTAAATTCTGTTCCATAGATTTCCTTACTAATTTCAGAGCTAGGAATGTTTTAATCATTGCAACTTTTATTGTATATTTTTATAAATGGTAGATGAAATAAATGTCCCTTCATCACTCCAATTTCTCAGAATTTTCTTGGCTTCTTCAGATGAATGTTAGAATGCTTTTATAAAGTTTCAAAACTATCTGCTGGGATTTTTTTAATTAGAATTTTATTAAACCCATAAATTAGTTTAGGAAGGATAATTGATTTTCCTGTCCAGGATCATGCTTGGTCTTTTCCTATATTCAATTTTTAAATATTTCTCTGTAAACTGTATAGTATTCTATATGTGAGTCCATTAAATTTTATGTTTAATTATAGATTTTATAGATTTTCATTGAGGGAAGTGGGGTAGGGGTGTGGGGAGAAATGTTCCTAACTCTAGTTTTCCTATTCTTTTTATAATGCTACGTTTCATAAGGAAAGGTTGTTTAAGGACTTAATTATCAATCTATAGCAGAACAAATTATCTGATACATATGAGGATCTTCAGATTATAGTGCCATGAAGAACCATTTTCCAACTTCTAAAGCGCCAAGTTAGATGTGTTCTCAATTGCCTGTCCAGAGCCTTTTAGCCAAGCAGGGCATTGATGATCGTATTTTCCTTCTAGTTTCTTTGTGAATGCATAGCTGTCATCATCAATGACTATTGACTTCAAGTTCTTTGAGGCACATTCAGGAGGATTGGAATATATTAACCAACATCAGCATCAAAAGTCTGTTCCTGACTTGCCCATCTGGACAATGGCATTACTGCCATTAAAATTTCAGGGTCCTCTCTTACACTCTTTCCCCTTTTAAACTCACCTGCTAAGTCCTCTGGAGTGTGCCAACAGGGTTTCTCAATTGTGTCTTTTGTTCATTCTCACATTTCAAAATCTCCCATCTTCTACATTCATCCCCTGCCAGTTTGTCCACACTAGTACCTTTCACTTTTACCATAGCCAGAGTGAGTTTCCTAAAATTCAGATCTGATCCTGATACCCCCTCTCTTGTTTAAACACAGGATAAATCCAAGAAATATACACGAAGAAGGAGCTGGCTACATTTTATAATAATATGTCAAGTGGGGTCATACAAATGTAAATAGGACATGGACTTGTACTTATTTCTTAAGGGACAAAGGCCAGATGTGTTAGCAGGACAGGCTGGCCTGATCTCCTGCCACTCCCTTACCTCTCCTCTTGACATCCAGCCACACTGGGCTCCTGAGAACACACTCACCTTGACTCTGCTTTGCTTTGCTCAAGCTGTTCCTATGCCTATCCTGTTCTTTATGGCAAAATCCTACCCTTCTTTCAATGTCAGATTCAATGTCATGTGTGATGTGGGCTTTTCTCAATGCTTATCTCTCTTCTAACACCATAGAAGGTAAGGCCAACTGCTCTCCCGCAGCAGTTAGTTTGTACTAGTCGCACAGCATATAGAGCAGCGGTTCTCAACCTATGGGTCGCGACCCCTCTGGGGGTCCAACTACCCTTTCACAGGGGTCACCTAAGACCAAAAAACAAAATGATATTTACATTATGATTCATAACAGTAGCAAAATTAGAGTTATAGAGTAGCAATGAAAATAATTTTGTGGTTGGGGGTCACCACAACATGAGGAACTGTATTAAGGGGTCACGGCATTAGGAAGGTTGAGAACCGCTGATAGAGGCTCTGATAACTTATGGTTGCTGTGTGGGTCTTCTCATCTTTATTGTGGTTGTCTCATAGCAGAGGCCCTAAACCAGTCACCTTTTTATACCTGCTCCGGAGTATTGTCTAACAAATTGGTATGAAATGCTCAAGTCTGAGAGAGGAAGCCAACAAGCAAAGAAGGTGCTCAGACCCTTATTCTTTTTCTGATAAACATGGTAGTGTTTGTGCAAGGCAAAGATTCAACTGTTTTTTGCATTTTAGAGTTGTATTGTACTTCTTGGCCTCAGTGAAAACAGCTTGGAGGCAGCATAGGATTCTAGAAAGAGGGTAGGGTTTGCAATCAGAGAACCTGGGTTTAGTCTGCACTAGTTCTATGAATTTAAGCAAGTTACATAACCCCAATGAGACTCAGTTTTCTCCACTATAAATTAGGAGTATCTACTAACCAGCGTTATTTACAGGGTTCTGTGACATTATATACACAAGAAGCTTTTATAAAAGAATTTATAATGAGAAAGCACTATAAATACCAGTATTATTTTCATTATGGTTATTTTTATATGTAAATGCAAACAGTTTTACATAAAGTAATATTTCTGTTTCAGAGATTTTAGAAATTATTTTTGAGAGGTAAAGCTCATGTAAACATATTTTTAAGTATTTTATCCCTTTTAAAAAAAACGATACTTGTATCTAAGTTTGTCTAGGTCTTGTAATTTTTAAAGTATTCTGGGGAGGGAGTGCGAAGTTTCACCTCCCCTTCTTTAGTTTTGGGCAATCCTACTTATAAGATTATCATCAGGTCTCCACTGCTTAGTTAATATATATATATATATATATATATATATATATATATATATATATATATATATGGAAGGAATAGTGTTTTGGATGCTTATCCATTTTCAGTCTTCCTGTATTTTTCCATTTTTCTCCTCGCTACTCAAATAGGTAGCTGGTTGTATGCTTATTGACTCAGAGGGAGCACATGGCAGGATGGAAAAGAGAAGCACAAGTCTTTGTGGCTTTAGAATTCCAAAGGGAGAATCCTAGGCACAGGGCCAGAAATAGTGAAGAGAGTGGAGCTACCCTCCCAGTCTCAAGACAGTTTCCTGGGCTGGGAGAAGGAGATGAGGAGATGAGAAAGAGAAACCCATGGGTTCCAAAAGCAGAGGGTACCTGTGCCCCGCTTCTCAAAGAGTACTACTAGGAATTCTCTTAGTATTACTAGAAGCCCATAAAAATGGGCTGTTTAAGGTGTCTGGAGTTACTACTTCTCTGTCTAGTAGGGAAGTTAGTAATCTGTGTAATAGCATTAATAATATCCACCTCACCAAGCAAAGCAATTTTGAGAATTTTAAGAAATAATATATGTGAATGGCTGGTACTACGTAGCTACTCCATAAATATTGTATTTCCTCGAATCCCCATTTATGTTTGGTCAGCCCATCAAACCAGTTCCATTCCTTGATCACCCCCATGCTCCATTTCCCAGAAGGGGCAAAAAGGGCAAAACCACACAGACAAGAGCCAAGCGTCCTCGTCCGCATTTCTTCCTTCTCCTGTCCTCTACCTCTTCCTGATGCCCTGTGGCATCTGTGAGGCCTCGGTCCTTCTTCCTGGCCCTTTGGTTCTAGAGGAACCTCTAGGAGCACAGGTGGGTGGTGAGTTGCTAGCAAGACTGCTGTGTGCTTTTCAAGGAAACAGGTCTGGTCTCCCTTTGAGCTGAACATGCTTGCAGATGACACTCAGTTCTCTGCTTAGCTGCTCCAGAAACGATTGAATTTCTCTGTGTGTGCTCAAGTTTCTACATTTACAGCCCATCACCGAGGCATATTTGACAGTGCTTTATACTTGAATGAATAAATTGGGTTTTCCCATGCTTTTTTCAAAAGGAGAGGTCTGAGGTTTTTTCAGAGGCATCTATTGTGTTGTCATCCTTGGGAAATGTTGTCTTTTATTTGTTTCCTAGTGGATCTCAGAGTTCTTAGAGAATCGGAAATGGGACAGATAAGTATTGATGACAGGCAGTAAGGTGGGAGCTATCAGTCATGGGCTTGGGAAGACAGACATAGGTAGGATGTCATATTGGGATCTTGATTTCCAGATGGTGAAGGATCTGTGCAGAGCTGAAAATATGATTACCTTTACCTTCTGCACAGTTTAACTTCCAGTAGCTGTGGATAGGCCATGATTGTGGCAGTGGACCCTCTCAGAAAGCATAGCTGCCCAGGGGTTGGCCTGATCTAGGACTCAGTTTATTTCATTTTAACCCTGGGGATACGGTTTACTTTAAGTTGCAATATTTTTGTTCTTTCTGTTCCATACAGATTCATGAAGGTGGCAGGAAGCACAGTGGATGCAGTTACCTGGCAACAGTAGGTATTCACCATTTTTGCTCTTATTATCAGCTGCTGTGAAATGAAAGATAATTAGTTGTCATGAAATATATAGATGACATTTATTAAGCTATCCTTCATCCTCCAAGAAAAAAGTTAAAACTAACTCTAAAGCTGTTCTTATGACTATCTCATAGTAATATAATTTTAAAAAACCACACTGACGCTTTTGGAAAGCTCAACTATTATGTACACTTAAATTCACCTGTCATCAGTGAACAGGTAATGAAGATCTGAACATGCCACCGTTTCACCACAAGCTTTACCTTGGGAATAAATTTCCTTAAGAGAAGAAATATTATTAATTACTCAATATACCATGTGAAAATAGAAACACTTCATTATGTTAATGGCAGCGGTCTTAATCAGCACCAAGAGAGTCACTAATATGAAGCAAGTAAAAAAAATATATATGAAGGGAATGGAGCAGCTTCAAGAATGAACCCCAACATTCCAGGAAGAAGCTTACAGTGACAAAGATGTGTTACCCTAAGAGGAGATTGATTGGTAAAGATCATTATCTGATATCTAAATTTACATTTTCTTTAAGTCTCCTTATGGCATTTGGGTTGGACTGCCCAACATCTTATAATGTCTCATAATTTTATACTGGAATCCTGCTCTTCCTTTCAGTAAGAAATCTATCCCACAGCATCTTCCAGATCATCTCTCATCTAATGTGGTCCTCATAGCTCAGATATGTGCTTCCATTCTGTGCCCTCATAGCTGTCAGCCATGGCCATCTTTCTCAGTTACTCTACCCCTTCCTGCCTAGCTCTTGTCTTCCTCCATCTTAAATGGGTCACAGTATTCCTTACATATTCATGACATGTGTGAAAGAAAGAGAAGCGGACAAAATCTTTATTAAGTATCCCAAAAAGGATTTTTGGTTTGTTGGTAATCAATAACTTCAATCATAATGGAAAATATTTTATTCTACATTAATACTTTAAGTTTCTTTAAATGACAAATTCCAAATATTTTCAGAAATTATCCACCTTCAAATTGTTTTTGTGTGCCATAGATTAAGTCTGAAGATCTTGTCATTGTTTTGCTTAAAACCCTTCAGTGTCTTCCCTTTGCACTTAGACCAACAGCCAAACTTTCTACTCTGTCCTACAGGGAAGGCCTTTTGTGTTTGGCCTCTGTCACCTCTGATCACATCTAGTGCTACTCTACCCTTATTCATTCTGTCCCAACACACTGGTGGTCTTTCAGTTCTTAGAAGGTTCGCACGCATATCTGCTTCAGGATCTTTGTACACGCTATTCCTGTGCCTGGTATGCTGTTTTCCCTATTTTTTGTGTGTGTCTGGCTCCTTTGCATCTGTTAAGAATCAGCTTCCGGGCCGGCCGAGTGGCGCGATGGTTAAGAACTCGCTTGGGACGCCAGAGGGCCCTGGTTCGGATCCCACATATGAGGGCCAGTGACACTGCCCTC